AAAAAAAAAAAAAAAAAAAGCGTGTGGATATACATCTAAATGTTTACAATGGTTATCTCTAGGTGAGAGGGTTAGGAATGGTTTATACTTTTTCCCTTTCACTCGTCTGTACTTACTAAACTTGATAAACATGCACCCACTTTTGTGATCAAAATGGAAAAATAAGCATTGCCTTGAAAGGAAGTTTTCAGACAATTGTGACATCAATTTCATTCAATACTGTGACATTTGGTGCCTGACTTAGAAAAACACTGAACAAAGGTGGTCAATATGCTGTTTACTGTCTCCACTCTTTTTTTTTTTAGTTGGAGTCTCACTTTGTTGCCCAGACTGGAGTGCAGCGGCACGCTCCTGGCCATCCCTGCCTCGACCTGCTGGGCTCCGGAAATCCTTCTGCCTCAGCTTTCCAAGTAGCTGGAACTACAGGCACATGCTACCAGGCCCGGCTAATTTTTGGATTTATTGTAGAGATGAGGTCTCGCCAAGTTGCCCAGGCGGGTCTTGAACTCGTGGGCTCAGGCAATCCACTCACATCAGTCTCCCAAAGCACGGGATTACAGGCTGAGCCATGGAGCACAGCTACTGTCTCCACTCTTAGCATCCCCTCCCCTTCTGGAAGGACACAGTATGCAAGATAAATGTGCTTGTTCTGTGTGCAGAAATCTCATTTCAGATCCTTTAGCATCTCTTTGGTTTTTTAGATATTCTAAAATGATAAATAAAAGTAAATGTAACAGACTTACTAATAAGCATCCCATTGTTTGATTGTAAAGATACATAGTCATGATCACATCCAACATTGTTTTCTAAGTCTAAACTTGTAAATTTTAACAGAATAATTTTATCTTCTGGTACCATTACTTTCCAGATACATAAGCTGAGGTAGTGGAGGGTGGAGAAAATACAGTAAATGGCAGCAGAGTCAAATTTGACAAATAAAATCTACTGGCAGGCTGCAGTGTCTTACACCTATAATCCCAGTACTTTGGTAGACTGAAATAGGAGCATTACTTGAGGTTAGGAGTTCAAGACTAGTCTAGGCAACATAGCAGGACTTAGCCATGCATGGTGGCATGAGCCTATAAACCCAGTTACTTGGGAGGCTAAGAAGGGAGGATCACTTGAGCCCAGGAGTTCAAGCCTGCAGTAATCCATGATTGTGCCACTGCACCCCAGTCTGTGTAACAGAGTGAGACCCTGACTCAAAAAAAAAAAAAAAATGTAATATCCATCCTTTAGCTCATAACTCACTAACCATAAAATTTTACAGATAGGGGACACACCTCATCAGCAAGAGTAACTGCATAATGAACATTTGTATACTTAACCCTGAATGTTACCCCACATCTTTAAAATAAAAAAATTAAAAGTTAAAAATAAATAAATACAAATTTTACAGATTAGAAGATAAAGGCAATGGAAACTTTTCATGTGAGAATAATTTGTTTATGCTCCAATTGCTAACATTTATCCAACAAGTAGATGAATATTAATCAGAGAATGCCCAGAAACTACCCTTTAAATTTTATTTAGTTATAAAATGCTAGAATTTTGATCTATAAATTGAAGGAGCCTAAGATTCACCTGACTGTTCTAGGTTATTATTAGTCTAATTAAAATTCATAATATTCATCCAGAAGTTGAATTATGAATCATGATTCTTATGAATTATGGATTGGCCATGCCAGCTTATGCTAGCCCTAACCAGCCACATCCTCAAATGTCATCTTAAGTAATAGTCCATAGGGTTGCAATGTCATCTCTCTAGCTCCCAGTAAGGTCAGCTGTGACCTTTCACTAACACCTTTAAAAACATGTCTAAACACTTGGAAAGTAGTCTTACATAATTTAACACTTAATCCTTTACCTTTACTTTCCTATATGAATTCATCTTATTATTCAAGAAAAGAAATCTCAGTGAATCATAAATCCTAGCTTCTTCCATGTCTGACATTCATCTGAACTCAAAGAAATATTATCTAGAATTGAACTTGTTAGAGTTAAATTATTTCCAAGACCCAGCAGTCTTTATTGGCAACCTCAGACCTGTTAATAGCTCAACTGCTCATTAAGTAATAAACGTTCAGGAGTGTAGTCGTTATCCAACTCTTTTATGCCCAGTTTCCAAAAACCAAACACTAATAATTCTTACCAAACATATCCTCCTTGACCAGAAACCCTTTGCTTTAGTCTTTTTCTATTCAAGTCCATCACCCTGAATATAGATGTAAAAATAAGCTGACTGAAATATTATAAAGTGCACTTTCTAAGCACTTCAATGGAAAAAGCACTTGACACCTGTCTTTCTTCTTGAGAACCATTATGTCCCTCAAAGCTAGGTAAGAGAGAAATTATTTCTCCTTTTCCAAACGGAAAAACTGGCATTGATTTTAAAAGACTCATCACATCTCCAAAATAATTGGAACTAAAGTTTAGACTTTATGACTTCAAAGACCAGTACTTTCTCTTGTTCTTGTCAAATTATTTTCTGCCTCAAAATCTGTAACTCAGAAGAGGAAAATAGGTTTCAAATGTATTCCAACCATGACTTACTATTAGTGATTGCTGTGTTTATAAGGATTCTGAGGTCTAGTCAAGCTAAATGAGAGAGAGGTGCCAAAATTACTCATTGATTTATTAATTCAAATATCAGTGGAACATTTATTATGTGCCAGACACTGATTGAGGCTCTGGGAAACACAAAGTCTCCTATGAGAATGGGAGGAAGGAGAGCAACCTGGGTTATCTGTCATTTCTGAGAGTCTAGCCACACCTACCTGAATGAAGAGAAACTCGAAGGTACTGTGTAATGTTGGGAGCTGGCCACGGAGGCCCACTGAGCGTTAGGGATCAGGAAGGGCCGTTGATCCCGAGACCACTAGGATGCGTTCAGGAGCTATTGACCCCATTTCCTCCTGCTTTCTACTCAGCACTAACCAGATTAAGCTCCTGTGAGCTCAAAACATAGAAACTCTGAGATCGGGATGAACACAAGCTAACTTTAGAAGCTCATTGCTCCCATTCTTCCACAAACTGTGGTTTTGGCTTTCACACAACTTATAATTCAAACTCTTGTCACATCTAAGAGCCTTAGTATTGGTCACAGGCTTCTGGGTCATGATCTTAGGATTTATTGAAGGTGTAAATTGCAGAATATAGTTTTAGAAGACAGCCATTTTGTTGAAAGAATGCAGCTGGGTTATTTGCAGGTAACCCACTGTGAACTTTGGACTGGGCCACATTCCAAACGTTCTGGGATGGGCCACTTTCATTTGTAAAGTAAATACTTAAGCTTCTTTAGAATTGTTTAACTTGGCATAAATCAATCAGCTTTGGATGAAAAAGGTTTATAGAATATGTCAGTCACAGATTAGGTTATCCTTTGTTATGGGACTTTAAGATTATCATATGAAAAGGGTTTAAAGGCAATCATTGATTAAGTTTTCATGGATTAAGGTTTCTGTGGGTGGGGGATGCCCCTCCCACATCTGACTTTGTGTATAAAAGACCCGTTGTAATTCCCAATAAGACACACATCGCTTCTGCACTAGACTGGAGTCCAGTCTCTTTCTTTCTCTCTCTCTCTTTCTCTCTTCTTCTCCCCAATCGCTGACGCCGTCTCCACCTTTGGGTACCCTGAACCCGGCTGGAGCTGGTCCCTGGCAGTGTAACTCCTTCCTTCTTTACATTATCTTTCTCCCTTATGATTACCTAACTAGCTCCCTTTGGAATTTGCAAAACCTTTTCACTATCCAAGGCAGCTTGCCGTGCTGGAGAAGTTACTAGCTATGCAAAATGGCCCCTTACCTTATTCTTAAAATACATTATATTAACATTCTAAAATCAGAATGCATCTGACAACAGAATCCTATAGACCTAGATTGAAAGGGTTCTTCCAGGGACGATTCGTATTAGCTTCTGCCAGTCACCTTGGGGTACTATCAACTTCATACTACCACTGAGTTTTTCTGCATAAGGTGCTTTGGACTATATTGGTGATGGGGATTTGGACTACAGATCTGCACAAGTATTAACTTGATTCAAATTCTCAGGGGAGATTTTTTTTTTCACCTCTACCCATATCCAGTGCCAATGCTGAAGCATATAACTTTCCATGTGGGTGGATTTATACCTTGTTTAGCCTTACGCTGAAGGTGAACTTTGGAGACCTAGCTTTATGTGAACCTATCTTTGGTATTTTCTTTTCTTTATTGTGGGTACATAAAATAATGATGTATTTTACAACCACTTTTCAAAAAAATTTAGATTTGTTGAAATATAGCACAAATTCATGCAAAGATGAACTGGGATATAAGGCTGCTGGAAGTCTTCATCTCTGGTTGACACTCTACTTTTGTCTCTATAAGCTATCTAGTATCTTCTTAATTACTTAGTCTCAATTTCCTTCTTTAAACTTTAAGCAATTGAAAACTTGTATGATTACTCAGACATCTAGTGTAAATTCCTTCAACTTTCTCAGAGATTATCTTCCCTTTTTTTTGCTGCTTTTCCAGGAAAAAAATTATTCTTCCTTCTTTCCAACACCAAATCTTCTTTATTTGTTGTCTTCTCATAAAACTTGGATCATATTTCTTGACTCTTTCTCTCTCTGCCCATAAACACAGTTGAGTCTATCGTATCCAAACAAAGAGAATGTTTCTTCTGACCTGATTGCCTAAAAGCCACTATCTTCCTCATCTCAGAAAACAGAAGTTCTACCCTTCTGAAAGCTCAAGTCAAAAACCCTCCCATCATCTGTGAAGGGCTCTTACTCTCTCTTAAAACCCAAATTTTCACCTCATCAGCAGATTCTGTGGCTGTACTATTCTTCATCCTCTTACTGCTACAAATCTAGTCAAATCTATCAACATCTCTTACCTGGACTATTGCAGTAGCCAGTTTCCCAGTGTTTGGTCTTGCCTGTCTTCTGATTGTTTTCAACACAATAACAAAAATGATCCTTTTTAAAATATATCAGATCATGTTCTTCCCATGTTCAAAATTCTCCAATGATTTTCCATTTCACTTAGAGTAAAATTCAAAGTCCTTTTTATGTCCCATAAAGTATGAACAATCTGACCTCTGCCACCTTCTCTCACTTAACCGTAGCTCTCTGCTCTCTTTGTTATTCCTCAAATATACCAAATATATTCTTGCCTCACACCTGCCATTTCTTCTACCTGGAGTGCTCCTTTACAAACAGATCATATAATTCCCACCCTCACTGTATCTGAGTGTTTTTAAAGTATCATCTTTATTGTGAAGCCTTTCCTAACAACTCTCTCTAATATTACACATCCTCACACTCTCTACCCCTTTCTGCTTTATTTTTCTGTACAGTGCTTACCACCTACTATTATATGTAAGCAATTTTTTTGTATTATTCCATTTCTATCTTTTAATTTTCTCCAAAAAAGGAAAGAATTTTTGTGTTTTATTCACTGCCATATCCCTCGTACCTAAGACTGTCTGATACATCCTAAGGTTTCAATAAAAATTTCTTGACTATTTGGGATAGCAGATTTTTTTCTTTTTTAAAAATTTTTATTTTTATTGTTTTTGAGTTGGAGTCTCACTCCATCGCCCAGGCTGGAATACAGTGGCATGCTCATGACCACCTCAGCATTGACCTGCTGGGTTCAGGATATTCTTCCGCCTCAGCCTTCCAAGTAGCCAGAACTACAGGCATGCACTACCACACCTGGCTAATTTTGTGATGTATTGTAGAGATGAAGCCTCACCAAGTTGCCAAGGCTGTTCTTGAATCCTTGGGCTCAGGCAATCCCCTCACCTCGGCCTCCCAAAGCCCTAGGATTACAGGCTTGAGCCACTATGCCCGGTCAGATATCAGATTTTCAACAGTCACTTAGCCCATTATGAATGTGCTTTCTGATCCTACAGTTCTATTTAATTAGCTCTCAAATTTTGAATTTCTGTATCCAATGACATTTTATCTAAACTGATTTTAACTTCTGCAGTTTCTAATACCAACAACTACTCCCTTTGTCTTGAAGCTTTTTCCTGCAGAAATCTCTGCAATACTTCATTGTCTAAGTTGAGTCTCTGTGTTTGGGGGTAAACAGGCTGTCCTCTGCATGTCTCTTACCTTATATAGAAATACTTTGTTCAAACATCCCTGGTCAAGGACATCCATTACTGAGGCAGGCCAGTCAGTGTCAGATAGCTCTCAAATTATGAACTACTTAATATCGAACTCTTCCTTCTCCTAACTTCTCCCTAGTGATCCTAAATCTGTGCTCTGCAGTTAATCAGAACAAGCCCAATTCTGCCTCGTTAGTGGCTCATCGGATAAATCAAGACAATTCCTTCCTTCCTTTTCAATCTTTCATGGTTCAAAAATATTCCTGGTTCCTTCAATTGTATTTCTCAAAACATTGTTTTGAATTTCTTTTCATCTTAGTCATTGTTCTTCAGGTAAATTCCAGTTTATCAATGTCCTTGTCTGAAGATTATCTCCTAGAGGTCCCTTCCTCCGAGATGCTAATAAAACAGTTTCTTGAACTCTTGTTCTATATGGTATTCTTCTAATAGTTTTTAGCAAAGATGGCAAAAACTTTATTGGCATCACCACAAGGATGTCTCAGAAAGAGTCGGTTTAGACCCTTAAACCTTTTAAATATGAGCTACAATTAAGCCACATCTCCTCCATCCATTACTTGAGATATGTATTTACATTTTGTTTTACATTGGTTTTATAAGTTACAGCCTTTACATCATTTTAGCCTCCCATTGCCTATGGCATAAAGCCTAAACTTCTTTGCTTGGCACTCAAGGTAATCTACAATTAAGTTCTGACCATCGTTTCTATCCTCATTATCCACTGCTACCTCAATTCCCATTTACACTGTTCCCTAGCGATATAGGTATACTCAGAATACAAACAACCCTGATATTTCCCATCTCCTTGACGTTACTTATACATAATTCCTTTGCTTAGAATGACCTCTTCCTCTGTCTCGGTCTGTTGAAATCTTCAATATTGAGCTACAAAGACCTCATGGGCTATGAAATCGCAACTATCCTTCAATGCCTCGTTTCAATGCCACTTTTTTCACTAAATCATTTATACCCCCTTCATACACACCTTCTAAACACACTACTAACACAACTTATAAACCACTCCAAGGGGAATTAGTCTCCATTTTTCTTAATACAAACATGCTTGGATAGTGTGGATTATAACCCTTATTGCATCCTGTTTTGTAGTATAGCTATTTTTGTCTAGCTCTCTCTTCCTAGAAGATTATAAACTCATAGAAATGTCATCTATCTTTGTAGAATACTCCTCAATGCTCAGAACAATTTTTGAAATAAATTTAGGTCACTTAAGAAAACGAGATACTTACAAACCCAATTTCTAAAGCTTAACAATATCTTTAGCAATACAGAAAACAGAGTATATAGAACATTTGTAAAAAAGATACAGAAACTTATAAAGCATGAACTATTTCCCAACTTCTAGGTGATCCTTAGCAAAACATCACGATTTTAGAAATAAGTGTGACAGTGTGCCAGGATTAATAACTAAACTCCCAAACCCATCTCATTACTAGATACTCTTAACATTAGATATTTGAATATATCAATTCAGATAAGTTCTAGTCTTACTATTATTCAGGTTGATGATTTACATTAATGCGTATCAGGAATGCCAATTAGTAAATATTCACCAACCAAAAATATCAGATAAAATATACGCTTTTATATTAAGCAGGTAAAGACTTAGAGATACTGGATAAAATTGCCAAAATATAGTTCCTTAAATTATCCAATTTTGTCAGGGGTAGATAGCCCCAAGAATCATTCCTATCTGGGATACATACCAATTATAAGAATAGTTGTCATCTTTGGAATAGGGGTAATGAATTGTCCCACTTTCTCCAAATAACACTGTCCCCTGAGGTTTGCAATCTTCAAAAACGTGGAAAAGAAGTTGACCATTTGCCCTACCCATGAACAACATTTCAAAATGATATAGAGGTTAGTCTGAAGCTATACAACTTACATTATTTATATAACTAATATTTACGGGAATGCAAATATTTTTAGAGGCTATGATTTAGACATTGTATCTGCAAACAAGCTTTTTAGAAAATTCCTAAATCATAATGTTCTTTTAAAAACTAAGTTCTTCAGATTTAACATTTATCTACATTTTCCTTCTCTTTATCTTTTCTGGGTAATGGTAAGATATCTTTGAATAAATACACTGAAATTAATGTACACAATTTTAAGCAGTGGCATAGCAATTCTCCCTCATTCACTTAATTTTCAGATGCCAGTGTCAGGGTTTGGGTGTTGGAAACTCTATGAATAAATATGATCAGGGTATTTAAAGTTTATATTCAAAAATTGAGATCTAATTCAGATTATGAACATGGTACAATCTCCCTATTTGTTTTCTCCTGATGACTTCTCCCAATCTCTAGATAATTAGAACTACACATACCCTCTTCCCTCTGGCTTCTGTGCCCATACCCAACAGAATTCAGGGCTTTCATCACATATCTTGAACTTATTTCTGAGAGGGGTTGGTCCCAGTCCACATCTGGAGAGGGTGTAAAGAGTTAATACCATTCTCAATAAATACCATTAAAATAATCATTATAAAATATTTTTGACAATGTAACATTATAAGAATATTAAGAATAACTTCTACTAAAATCAGTGCAGAGGGGACTTTTTCTCAGTATCAGTGGCCTACCATGTCTTTTTTAAAAAAAAAACCCTAAGGGGCTACATGGAAGCAGAAAATAATTTATTTGATTTGATGGCTTGTTAGGGTAGTTTAAAAAGTAAGATGTGAAAGATTCAATTCATCTGCTTTTAAGGGTTAAGACAATTTCGTGTAATTCCATTTCCTAAACATAGCCAGTTATAGAGAAGGATTGGGGAAGAAGGGCTTGAAAAATATAGGCAAAGAGAGGACAAGAAGCATAGAAACATGATCCCAAGGTAGTGCTATCAAATAAAGCACTTTGAAGTGTATTAGTGGTAGAGTGGTGAGCATGGCAGCCTTTCAAACAAATCACCTATCACATTCTGATGTTCATTTGACTGTGGAATTAACTGATATTGACTGGTTTCATTGCCTTTAAAAATCTTTTTGTTACCATTAACCTTTATTCAAGGCCTGTTGAACTTTTCAACCTTCACTTCCAGGTGATCAAACTGGAGGAGTACAGTCACGCCCAGAAGAGAATTGTCTTCCTGCAGCATGGCAATGAACAAGGGACTTTTACAGTTAAGACCAAATGAAAGTGAACTGAGAATCTGTTTTAGTCTGAGGTGGTGCTGGCTTGCAGCTGGGCCAACAGCACCAGCACTTCTCAAAGTTCTCAGTTAGGTGGCTGACCTTGGACTACAACGAGAGAGGGATAGAAAATGAACAGGCTATGTCCTGGGGCTCTGGGTCTTGACCTTAAAAAAAAAATGTGGTTCCTATTCTATACTACTTATTCCTGGAAGGTGTTTTCTCTCATGCCTCTTCATTTGGCAAAGGACAGCTTTGGTCTCTCTAGTTCCACCATTTTCTAATCTAGATTTTAGTGCCACAAAGCAAAAATTAACTCTCTAAAGTCTTCCACATTTTTTCACTATTGTCAAGTAAAATAAACATGACTGAATGGGTGAAGTGGAAATGGAGTGATTTATTTTTAGCAGTCTTAAGTATTATACAGAAAAAATATGCCAATTGAAAAAAAATGAAGAAAGAGTATCCTGATGAGTCTATTCTCAAGGTCTGTTAATACAATCTAAATGCAAAGAGATATCTCAAAAATTGTATATAGGGTTGGTTTGTTCAAGTTACGTTGACAGATAGCAGTGTTCAGAGACAAAAGTTTATGTATATTAGACTAACAACTTGGCTGGGCATAGTGGCTCATGCCTGTAATCCCAGCATTTTGGGAAGCTGAGGTGGGAGGATTACTTGTGCCCAGGAGTTCAAGACCAGTCTGGGCTACACCATGAGACCTCATCTCTACAAAAAACAAAAACAAAATTAAAGTCATATTCTTGCTTTGTTCTGATTATATCACAGCAAAGCAGAATAACTACCCTCGAGATAAGTATGATTAATTTTTGACTTAGAATAAAATGAAGAAGGAAGAAGTCACCCACCTGTGATCATGCTCTGAGTGATAAAATTCATCAACTCAAACACTTTGGAGAAAATGCCAAGTGATGAAGTTATATGGTTATTTCTTAGAGGTGCTAATCCTCCAGTAAAACCAGCTGCCCAGGAAGTTATCCCAGCAAGAGTCCAGATTCCATCAGCTCTTCTACAGACCAGTGGTCCTCCAGAGTCCCTCTTTCATGATACAGAAGAGAAAAAAATTGAAAAAATTTGAAAAAAATTGAAAAATTTAAAATATTTCATCAGTTCCATAAGCATACCACTCATCTCAAAGTGAAAAGAGGTAGAGGTATAGAAGTCTATCAGTCATTGTCCATCAACTTTTTGTTCATCTGTTTTGTTGTTTCTTTGTTATTAGTTTCAAGGCACAATCTTTTCATCCAGATGTAATTTCTTTACACCTACTGGTTGCAGTCTTGTCAGGCTAACACTTAATTTCTCTCTTCCTGATGTATATGGAACTACCATGTATATTCTCTTTTCCCCCTTTCCCTGCCCACCAAAAAAAAAAAAAATCAATGAAAAGGGAGTAGTTACAGATGTATGCTTTTACTGTGGCTTGTCATTGGGAACTGCTGGGAAAGACAATCATCTCCCAACCTATAGCATCAGGAAATAGAGCACTCAGGAAGTCTGGGAAACCCCAGGTGCTATATGTAAAGGATCATATTGACTCTCATGCTAGAGAATCAAGAATCCAAGATTTTAGGATCTTGTCTTCAATAATATATGTTGCTTTGAGAATATGTTTCAGATAATCTTGTGTCAGATTAAACTCTCCTTAAAAGATATAGAAATGTTTTTTTGAATTAAAAAAAAAAAAGGATTGCCCATAATACATGCAGATAGCACAAAGCTCCTTTAGCCTACCTGCATTCCAATTTAGAAATTGGCAGAAGTGTAAGTTTATCTCCTCCCTCTCAAATTCCTGCCACCCCACTGAAAATTCTTCCAACAGATCGTTTCAGAGAGCTTCTCTCAACACTTCCAGCTGCTTTTTAGCAAAAAAAAAAAAAAAAAAAAAGAATAACTCCATGCTGCTCCACTTAAAAAAAATCAGAGAAGATAATTTACTTGGGAGATCGGTCTAAAACTTAAAACTCATGTTTTTGCAACTTAGTATCCCTTTCCTCTCTATACATCTTATAAAGATTGGTATTTTTTGTGAAGCTGTGTCAGTCTTGAGAGGTCATTGTCATCCACAACTCTCTTACCCAACTGTTACTAATGTCATGTGTCTTTGGTCAAACTTTGTGCAAAAAATATTCTGCAGTAAAGGAAAAAAAATGATAATGCTTCACAAAACATGCAATAAAGAATAATTCATAGCTATATCTAATAAGATTGTCAAAGTGGTCATCTTACATAATTCCATTAGGTTGTACATGTTGAAACTAACCCCTTCTCCCAACTCACCAAAATAAGAGAGGGGTAGGGTAGAAATGGGCATGGGGACAGGAAATAATTCTCTCAGCTCAGGTCAAGTAAATTTTTTTTAAAGTAGAAGACAGGTGGAAAGATGAGGGAAGAGGAAATTTTACTCAATACCTCCCCATAAGAAGCTCATAAGGAAAGGCAGAATCCACTTTTACCCACATATTACTGAATAACTGGGCTGCTTTATACTTTTTACCTGGCAGGCATCCATTCCCACATCAGGAAAACCAGCACACAGCATAGTCCTTCCCAGGGAAGGGAGGTTCATACTCTTGAGCACAGTATTACATGTTATGTCATCCATGATGAGTAGTTCTACTTCTTGTAGGACAGTTGAGTATTCTGATGCTGTTGAGGCAATCACAATTGTCCTCATTGGAATAAATTAATAAGAAGTCTACAAGTTTAAAAGTATTTCAAATAGATTTTTAATCAAATGTAGAAGTCATTTTTTTAGGTGTGAATTATATTCACTTCTAAAAATCAGATATGTGATAACAAACATTTTTTTAAAATTCAGATCTTTAAGGTAACATAGGAAATTGTGGCTTCTCTGAACATCTGCTTAGACATTTTCCCAATAGGGACACTTCAGCCAATGAAGCAATGCTTTATAAAATTCTTTATGTATTTTAAAAAAGCAATGTTTTTTCAAGCTTTGAGGCATAACTGACAAAAATTGTATTATTAAAGGTGTACAGTGAGATGTTTTGATATACATATACATTGTGAAATGATTATAACAATCAAACTAATTAACACCTATTAACTCACCGTTAACTCATAGTTAACGTTTTTGTGGTGAGAATACTTAAAAGGTACTCCTTTATCACATTTCAAGTATACATTATTAACTATAGTCATCATGACCTATATTAGGTCTCTAGAACTTATTTGCCCTAAATTTGCAAGTTTAGATGCTTTGACCAGCTTCTCGTCCATTGCCTCCACTCCCAAATGCCCAGTGATCACTCTTTTACTTTTTGTTTCTATGAGTTTGACTTTTTAAAAAGTCACAATATTAATGACAAGGAAGCTTACCTATTGTTACCATTTTCTGATTGTCCTTTTAGTGTATTCCTCCTCATCTAGCATAGTTACATCCAGTTTCCTTTATTTGACTTACCTAACCAAAATGGCAGCAGCAGGAGTGATATAATAGCCTTTTAAAAAAACGTATAAGACCCTTCTATGGTGAAGACAATCAGAAATCTACACTGAGTCAAAATTAAGGGAGAAAAATAGGATAAATGTATTACTCATGGTCAACAAAATTATTTCTGCTTCTCCTTGGCATACAAAGATCTGGAAGAAGTATTATGCATTTTATTTTTAAATTTTAAAATTTTTATGGAGACAAGTTCTTGCTATGTTGAAAAGGCTGGTCTCAAACTCCTGGACTCAAGCAATTCTCCAACCTACGTCTCCCAAAGCACTGGGATTACATATGTGAGCCACCACACCTGGCCTAGTTATACACTTTATGATGCCTCTTACACTCTGAAATCTTGCCCCATCCACTGGTCATGCAAAGAATCCCTGCTTCAAATTTATCATCTCTCTGAGGAAGACAGATTGGCTGAACAGCAGTTCCTGGAAGAAACAACAACAACAAAAATTATGAGGTTTGTGGATAGACAAAGTTGAATAGATTTGGAAAAGTGACATCTGTTGATCTTACGGCTTCTATACTTTCTTCCTAAATGTAATGGTTACATATTTTAAGCTTTCTGCCTCATATTAGACTAGCTGATATTTATAAAAATTTAGAAAAATGCAGAAAAAGTAAAACAAGGAAAAGCATACCCATTGTTTTATACACCACCCTGAGCCCCCAGACTACTAACATTTTAGAAAGGACAGTTCTTCATTCAGTAGTTATCGATTACTATTATGTGGTAAAACATTCTTCTAGGCCTCAGTGAATGAAAAAAAAAAACAAAACAATCTCAGCCCTGGTGGAGCCTATGCATCAGTCGCCAGGGAGGGAGAGATATAAACAACAAATGTAATTGTTTAGTGGTTGAGTAATAGATGTTCTGGAAAAACCAGTAGAGTAAAGACAATGAGAAGCCTGGAGATTAGGGAGAACGGCACAGGAGAAGTAGTTTTGTTGTTGTCGTTGTTTTTATTGTATTTTAAAATTGTGGGTGCAAGTCAGGATTGAGTACACAAGTGGTTTAGGTACAGGTGCAGTTTTGGGCCTCCTATGGGACCTCACTTCTCCTGGATTAGGATTAGGGACCCTTATTGATGTTATATACCGCTCACCCCCGGCAGTGTCCCACTACTGCCAATCCCATTTTTGTGGTATTATGATAAGTGTTCAGGGTTCACATATGAGTGAGAACATGTGGTACTCAGTTATTTGTATCTGTGACAGATCACTGAGTATGATAGACTCCACATCCCTATGGTGGTCACGGTAACTCTCAATGAATAAATGACATTTGAGCAAAGTCTCGAAGAAGCTGAGGGAAGGAATGATGTCTGGGTTGAAAGTATTTAATAAAAAAACAGAATGGAAAGTTCTGGCAGCAGGATTGTGTATATATGCCTGGGGTACAGTTGGACTGGGGGCAAGATGGCTGGAGCAGATTAAGCAAAAGGAATTTTAGTAAAAATTAAAGCAGAGATTAGATGTAGGACTGGGAAGGAGGAGATGTCAGATAATAATACTGATTTCCATCTGAGTGTAATGGGAAAGCATTGAAGTGGTTTGATCAGGGTGACAGATCTGATTTGCATTTTTTAAAAGCGTTATCTGGCTGCTGGGTTAATAAACATTAGGGAGGCAGAAGAAAGAGCTAGAGACAATTTCAGAGACCATTAAAAGTGGCCCAGGCAAGAAACGATGGTAGGATAACCTGGAACAAGATGGCAAGAGTGAAGTAGTTGTGGCAGAAACAACAGGTTTTCCTGACACAGCATCAGAGCAAAAAAACTCATGACTGAGTCCTGAGTTTTGAGCTTAAACCACTGGAAGGATGAAGTTATCTTTAATCAAGATGAAGGAGACAAGGGGTAGGCATCTTTGGGATATAGGGGGTAGTCAGGATTCTTGGCAAGACCTCATCTCTACAATAAAAAAAAACAACAAAACCAGCTGGGCGTGGTAGCGCGCGCCTGTAGTTCCAGCTACTTGGAAGGCTGAGGCGGAAGGATCGCCGGAGCCCAGCAGGTCGAGGCTGCGGTGGCCGGGAGTGGCCACTGCACTCCAGTCTGGGCGACAGAGTGAGACTCCAACTCAAAAAAAGAAAAAAAATTTATATATATTACATTTGAAATGCCTATTACCAGTCCAGGTGAATTACTAGTTGGCAGTTGTTTACATGAATCCCATTAATTTCAGAGGCATATGTAAATATAAAGAAACCTGGGCTAGATATACAAAGTTTGGAATAGTGTTCAGGTAGATGGTGCTTAAAACATTGATGCTGAAGGAGATCACTAAGAGAATGAGTGCCGATAGAGAATAAGATATCCAGGGCTAAGTCCTGAGGCACCCCAACAATAAGAGGTCAAGGAGAAGAAGAATCATCATAGAAGACTAATCAAAGGCACAAAGGGATAGGCAGAAAAATAGCAGACTTCTGGAATTCGAATGAAGAAATTATTTCTACTAAGAAAGTATGAGCAGAACTCCTATCAAGAAAGATGAGAATTGAGAGTTACCCTGAATTTAGCAACATGGAGGTCATTGGTGACTGTGACAAGAACAAATTTGGTGAAGCAGTTGGTATGAAAGTCTGATCAACTTGGATGTCTAACAGGCATCTTAAACCTATTGGCATACTTAGCATAGATGGCTCTTCACAGAGTTTTTCTATAAAGGAGAGAAGAAAAGTGATAAACAATTCTAGTTTGAGTTATTCTCAGTATTTTGATCATCTTGTTCTACTGTCTTCTTGCATTTACTGCTGTTGAGAAGTCAACTGCCAATCTATTAATTATAATTATCATTTCTTTTTTGGTAATCTGAATTTTTTTCCTCTACTTTCTTTTGAAAGACACTTCTTTTGAAAGAATGTATCTTTTATTTTTATGTGCTACATTTTTTAGCACAGGCCTAGATATATAATTTTTTTGGTATCATAGTTGAAGTTACTGGGCTTTAAATCTACAGATTTGTGTCTTGTCAATTATGATCAACCCTTTCTCTTAAATTATAGCCTTTCTCCTCCATTATCCATATTCTTTCCAAAGCTCAAATTGGATACTTGCTGTACTCTTTCTATCTTCTCTATGTCTCTTACCCTTTTTGCCTTTTCTGGGTAATTACTTCAGAGTGTCTAGTTTCTAATACTTAATCTAATGTGGGAGATAATTCTGTTAAGTTTCTAATTCAAATTATATTTGTATGTATTCATGTTTTATTGGTTCCTTTTCAAATCTTCTCCTCCATCTAATAGTTTCCTGTTGTTTAGTCATTTTTGATACACTTTTACGGCTTTAAACTTAAGTATTTACAGAATATTCTATTCTGTATTTCATTTTGACATGTGCAATCTTTGAAAGTCTGATTCTGGTTGTTAATATTGCTGATTCTGCCTTGATGGCGATTTCTTTGCATGTTTATTTGTGTGCTCACATTCACTAAAACTTTATGGGAACACATTGAAGCTGGGATTTAAGGTTCATTCAGAGAGGATGTATTTTTGCTTCTACTAGAAGCTCTATTGCTCTCCTGGAGCCACTTTAAACTGAAATCTTGCCTTGGCATGTTTGTGGGGTCACACAGGTGATGTCAATCAAACCCGAATGAAGCTTGGCTCATGACTACAGATTATTTTGAGAACCCTCAGTCCAGAGCCAAGGTTCATATAGGTAAGCTTCTTTATACCCTCACTTTGTGTGGCATATTCCCCCCTCCTCCCCACCTTTTCCCTTTTCTTTCAAAGCATTGCCTTTCAGAAAGTCCCAGGCTCTTTGCAGCTCCTTGCATGGCCAGTTATATCTGTAGAATCTTAAAGATCAATTCGATGCTGCAAGGGTAGTGGCCTGGATTTGTACTCCTTCATTGTTTTTGACATAAAATTAAACTTAACACTTCCTTTTCTTGCATTTTTTGAAAAGATTTTTAGTATTTTATCCAGAATGTTTAGATTTCCTGTGCTGAGAGAATGTTGGATATCAAGTCCACAGTAATGACAGAAAGAAGTCTCTGAAAACATTTTCAAATATCCCAAGGTTTTTGGTTAGAGCCAAATATAGGTTGATGGCTTACAATATTGCCTAGCTAAGACACAGAAATCTTTAAAACACCGACTGGTGAAAATATGGACTCAACCTAAGTGCCTATTATTCGATGAGTGAATATTTTTAAATGTATAAAAAATAAAATCTTGTCATTTGAAGCAACATGTATGAAACTGAACATATATCTTAAGTGAAATAAGCCAAGTACAGAAAGACAAATATCACATGTTCTTACATATGTGGGAACTAAAAAAGTTGATCTCATGAAGATAGAGAGTAGACTGGTGATTACCAGAGGTTAGGAAGGGTAGGGAAATATGAAAAGACATTTATTAATGCATACAAATATACACTTAGAAGAAATAAGACATGATCTTTGATAGATCAGTAATGTTTTAAAATAGCTAGAAGAGAATGATTTGAATGTTCCTAATGTTATGAAAAGATAAATATTTAAGGTGATGAATATCCCAGTTACTGTGTTTTGATTATATGAATGTGTCAAATCATCACATGTATGCTGAAAATATGTACATCTTATATGTATCAATAAAAATAAATAAGTCTGGATGTGGTGGTTCAAGCCTGTAATCCCAGCACTTTGGGAGGTGGAGGGTAGGGGATTGCCTGAGCTCAGTTGTTTGAGACCAGCCTGAGCAACATGGTGAGACTTTGTCTCTACAATAAATTAAAAAAAAAAAAAATTAGCTGGGCATGCTGGTGCATGCCTGTGTTTCCAGCTACCCAGAAGGCAGAGGTGGAAAGATCACCTGAGCCCAGTGGGTCAAGGCTATGGTGGCCATAAGCAGCGTGCCACTGCACTCCAGCCTGGGCAACAGAGTGAGACTCTGATTCAAAAATAACTAACTACATAAATAAATAAAAGCAAAAAAATGTTTATTGGTAAGTTTATTGGTAAATGATTTGTGGCTGGCACTTATAACCTTACAGTACTTTGAATTTTTTAAAGGGTATAAACAAAATTATTTTTAAAAGAAATAAAGTTTAACTATTCTATTACTAGTCATACACACAGAAATTAAAGTTAACTTGTACTTAATTAGCAGTTTTCCCTGTTGCATTTTTTATATTCTAACTCTCTCTACTCACCAAACTTGACTTTGTGTTTTAGATACAGCAGTGCAATATCAGGACTCATATGTCCAAGACTGTTATATTCAGGATGGATAACAATTTTCGAGACAGGAATATACTGTTCTTGCTTATCCTTCTGAAAGAGGTTATACTCCCCAGGAGTCACAGTTAGAGTCTTAAGTTGCTTCCTAAAACCAAAGAAAAATGTGTCAATAAGTGGTTGTTTCCCCCGGGCAAGAATTCTTGGTTTATATAATTAAAGAAAATGGATTAATGTATCTGTAAGCATTTCCAAGTCTTTAAAGAAAGTGTTCCTTTATTATTGAATATACCAAGGACCATCATTTTTTTTACTTTATAAAAAGTCATGGTTTCCAGTCACAGAATGCTTACATTCTTGTGAACCTTTTCATCCACCATCAATTGTCTCTCTGAGTATTTAAATGTTGCCTCCCTTTCTTTCTGTACACAAATCATAGTCTATACATGCTATATGCCATTTTTAATAAGGTATACAAGTTGCTTTCTAGAACTGTTCCTCCTTTTCTCTTAATTAGTACCCTCTTTTAATCTGGTCAAGTATTTGTTATTTCCACAGTATTTTTTTTCCTCCAGTTGACTTAAACTTAGATGATTAAAACTTTGGAGCATTCATTCATTTGATTTTAATACTATATATAATATATGTTTATTTTTTTTTTATTTTTTATTTTTTAGTCAGAGTCTCATTCCACCACCTAGGCTGGAGTGCAGTGGCCTGCTCACGGCCACTCCAGCATCGACCTACTGGGTTCAGGCAATCCTTCCGCCTCAGTCTTCCAAGTAGCCAGAACTATAGGCATGCACTACCACGCCTGGCTAATTTTTTGATTTATCGTAGAGGTGGGCTCAGGCAATCCCCACACCTTGGCCTCCCAAAGTGTTGGGATTACAGGCTTGAGCCACTGCACCTGGCCAGTACTATAGTAACCACCAACTCTACTCAATCACTACATCCACAAATGATAGATAATGTCTGGGATTGTCAGGAGTTTCCAGTTAGAAGAGCGGGAAGTACTGGAAGTCTTGGGAACACAGGTTTCTAGGAACCGGGAAGATCAGTGGGTGGGTACACCACATAAGTGGCAAGGTTAAGAAAGAGACTGAAATTGAGATGAGACTTGCATGATATAAAGAACATCAGATCTTCCAATCCCATAGCCATGAGTCAAGGTATGACAAGTAATGAAAATGCACAACTCACTCATTGAAGCTATACAGGCAGCGTGCTGCTGTAACAACCAGTTCATCTTGAACCAAGCTTCCTCCACAGACATGGTGTTTGCCTAATTTTAGGGAGACCTGCCCAAGAAGACAGTTACACAGCTGATACATAGATATATATCTCCCCACCGATGCTTCCTCCTTCAGAAACATTTGGTCAACTCTTCAAATTTGACTTAATATTCTTAAAATACGGACATAAATTGGGTAGTAAGATATTTCCCATGAAGTAAACTTTTTGGTAGAGAGGTAGAGGGGATCAGGAGAAAAATTACATATCAACTTGGAGTCTTGATGTTTGAAACAAAGGAAATATTATACCTTTTCTCATTCAGAAATCGATGCCTTTGTTATACTGACCTGCCATGGATGTCCACCTACTGTTGAATTTCTCCAGCTAATAATTCTAGAGAAGAACCCAGGTTGTACGGTAGGTTCCTTACTTTTCAAATTGACTGCACGAATTCCACACTTCAGTCCTGTGTAGAAGACAACACACACACACACATACACACAGTTTTATGTCAGAGTTCACTTTATGGAGATTTCCTGTTTGGATTTTCCTGGCCTGGCACAGACATTCTGCTATAACTCAGCTGCAGATTCACTCCTTTCATTACACGATATTTTCTTTGAAATATCCCACAGTCATCCCAGGTTGACCAGAACTTGCCTCCTGTCTGCCCCTTTTCAGCCTATGCTACCCACGGGCAGGAAGGGGCCAGCTCTGCCTCTGGTGGTCGATTTAGGGCTTGCTCTGGGGGGGAGGCACATTACAGAATTTAGGTGGTATTAAAGATACTGGGAAACACAGATGCTACTCGGAAGAGAGGTATTTGACTTTGAGTTACTTCTACTTGGTTATATTTCCTTAGCACAAGCATGGTTAACAGAACGAGAACTCCAGATTTTAACACATTCCAGAAACAAAATCTAGCCTAAGTCTTCCTTTGGGAACATCTGAACCTGTACCATCCATCCCCCAAACATCCCCACCCC